TGTTAACTTTCTAAGCCATTTGGAGAACCGGTTGTTAACTTTCTAAGCCATTTGGAGAACCGGTTGTTGGAAGAAATCTCCTTTTGTTTTTTTTCCACTTTACGGGGCTGATCCCTGTAAAGGAAGGCCGGAAGGAAACATTCTGGTGTTGTTTCTAGCCTAATCTTTATTGCCCTGCTTTATTGCCCTGCCTCCAGTTAACCCTTTAACATTGTAACAGTTGATGTGAAGCGCCCATTGACGTGAATGACGTTGAGTTGGCCACACCCACCCAGTCACATGACCACCGAGCCTTGCCTACCTAACTGGTCATTAGGGCAAAGAACCGGTTGTTAAATTATTTGAATCCCACCACTGTCAGAACAAGCAATAAGAAAATAAAAAAAAAGTTAAGAACCATCTAACAAGAAGAGAAAGTGACAGTGATTCAGAGATTTTTAAGCAGAAAACGTGTAATGCTTTACAAGTTCAAAGGGAAGTGTATGTTCAATACCATAATTTTCACAGAGAAATATGCCATAAAATTGAGACATACGCATGTCCATCAGCTGTCCTTGACTTTGACCTGTCAAACAAAGTATCTATTTTATGCTATTTGCTCCATTTTACTTTATTTTTAACATACACCTGTACTCAAAAACCAGCTTTTTCGGGATGACTTAGAGCAGTGTTTCTTAAAACCTTTTTCTCTCAAGATCCCTTCCCACTTTAAAAATTATAGAGGAGACCTCCCCCAAAAGACCTTTAGTTTGTATGGATGACTATTAAAAATTAAAATTGATGCATTTCCTGCTACTACTCTTCCTCACAATTGTTTGATGGGATTCTAATATTGTGCTCCTTTTCAACAGAGGCTGGCAAACAAATTTGATTTTGCAGGCCCTTGGAGGGAATACTTTTTGAGAAAAACTGACTTAGAGCAACACAGTAGAACATCCTTGGGTATGTTAACCAGTTCTTAGCCCAACCGATTATTTTAAAGAAAAGGGTCTGTTATTTATTTATGTATTTTGTATACTAATTACCACTATTCAGGTTTTCCACAAACCGGTTTCATGATATAGAAATTGAGCAACAAGTAAAACATCTAAAAATATCACTGGGTATGTACGAATATGTAGAATTTGATTGGCATAAAAATATAGGAATGTTGAACAAAATAATAATGAAAGATTAGACTTTAATAAAAACACGTATATATAACTTGTCAAATATAGGTATGATGAATATTTTATTTGTGTTAAAATGTGATTAGAAAGATGATATTTTTTTAAAAAAATATAATAGTGGCACAATTAAAAATTAGAAAGGGGATAAACAATGGAAGATTATAATTTAATATAAATCTGTGTATTGTTATCAGAACTATATAAGTCTGTTAAACGCAACAAATGTGATTATTAATATTTTATTTGTAGTAAAAGGAGTGATATTTAGAATATGGAGATTGGCATAAAATAATATACTGAAATATTGAACAATCAAAGAATGAAAGATTATAATTCAACAAAATATGTGTATTATTACTAATGTTTTATAAGATTATCAACGGTATTAAATATGAAGAATATTGTTATATTTGTACTACAATATAAGATATTTCAGTCCACACTGTTAACACAACAATATGTTTGTAGAAAAATAAAAAATAAAAAACAAAATAAAAATGTCATTGAAGTTTTATATGTATTCTTATTTATGTGTCTTAGTGCTTCTTAAGTGAAGGCATTAGTAACTCCTTGCAAGTACTTCACTGCCCCCCACCCAAAGGAAGGTTAGGAACCTTCATGGTATTGGACCTGGGTACTTGAGAGACCGCCTGCTGCCAATTACCTCCACTAGACCGATTAGATCCCACAGATTAGGCCTCCTCCGAATCCCATCCGCCGGCCAGTGTCGACTGGCGACTACCCGGAGGAGAGCCTTCTCTGTGGCTGCTCCGACCCTCTGGAACGAACTCCCCATGGAGATTCGAACCCTCACCACCCTCCAGGCCTTCCACAAAGCCCTCAAAACCTGGTTGTTCCGACAGGCCTGGGGCTAAAGAGCTGTTGCCCCCGTCTCGAATGGTATGATTGTTGTGAGTTTTAAATTATATATTGTTATGTTGTTGTTTTTAAATCTTTTGTCTGTATCCCCCTCCCCGGTTCGAGTTGTGAGCCGCCCTGAGTCCCCTTCGGGGGAAAAGGGCGGCATATAAATTTAATAAACTGAACTGAAACTGAAACTGAAACTTCTTGGAATAGTGTGCAAAGGAATGCTACAGAATATTGATAAATACCAGGAAATATCTTCTGGTTCAATTAATAGTTTTTTTTAAAATTCCTTGAAAATCAAAGTATAAATCAATTAAAATGGAAAACTTAAATTTCTTATCCTTTTCTAGGATCACACAATGTAGCATTATCATCACCATCACCTATCCAATGAATATCTCAGATCTTTTTGAACTGGGTATTTTCCAACACATTCAGGTTTTATCCCAGAGTCTAGGAATCACAGGATTCTTATTCTTACTTGTATTAGGAAAACTTTGACGGACCCATCCTCCAGATCTGTTGCTGTGATGCACACACTCTTCCGGTTTGCTCTTTCTATCACCATCTGACTCCACAACCTGGTGTTAAGAATAAGCCTCATGCTTCCTTGATTTCGCATGACTGCAAGCACAAGAAACAATTTCAAAAATGTAGGCAAGGAAATTGAAATACACCAGATTTTCCTACCAATTTTGGGAATTTCCATTACTTATTCTCATGACATTGAAGGGCTTCCGTTTTTTCCAAAGAGAGAAAAATAGGATTTTCTGTATGAATCTGGATTTAGCAGCCTCCAAAGTAGTTGCAGAAACTACTCTTTCTTATGTACAGAGTATATGTACATAACTGCCGTGACCCGTCAAAACCGCGGTCCACAAAAGCGCGATCGACGAAAGCGCGCATTTGACGTCATCACAGCGTGATGAAAAAAATTAAAAATTGAAATAAAAATAAAATTAAAGCAAGCCGATTCACATAAAGGTAAGGGTTAGGTTTAGGGTTAGGGTTAGGGTTAGGTTAAGGGTTAGGGTTACGTTTAGCGTTACGTTAAAGGTTAGCGTTAGGTTTAGCGTTAGGATAAGGGTTAGGTTTAGGGTTAGATTTAGGCTTAGGTTAAGGGTTAGGTTTAGGGTTAGGTTTGGGGGGATTAGGGTAAGGTTTTCGCTTTATTTTTACATTTTTCGATCACAGCGCGATGTTTTCGTCGCGCTGTGATGACGTCAAATGCGCGCTTTCGTCGACCGCGATTTTGTTGTCTGCGGTTTTGTGGTGGAATCCATAACTGCATTGACCAGTCACAGCAGCACAGCAATAGCAATTGCACTTATGTGCTGCTTCATAGTGCTTTACAACACTTTCTAAGTCTAAGTGGTTTACAGTTATTTGTCAAGTTGAAAGGAGGGCAAATGAACCTGTTTGGTTGATTGGCTCATTTGCCCTCCTTTTTCTTGACTTGGCCAAGAAACCTGGCAAACCTGGCAAACCATTTTAATTATAGAATAAACCTGCAAAATATAACAATCCAGATCCAAGCCAAATGGGTTTAACTATGGGGAGAAGGATTAAGAGATGAAAAATTAATAATAATAGAACAGCAGAACAGAATAACAGAATTGGAAGGGACTTTGAAAGTCTTCTAGTCCAACCCTCTGCTTAAGCAGGAAACCCTATATACCATTTTCGACAAATGGTTGTCCAATTTCTTGTTAAAAACCTCTCTAGGAAGGGTTCTCTAATCCTCAGCTTAGGACTTCCAAAAGGCTACTGTTTGATGTGGACAATCTTGACTTTTTAGTCTTTGTACTCTTCTTCAGAACTATGGTTTTAATCCTATACAAATGGAGTAATTAAAACTTGTGTGATTAATTGCCAAATCTTTTTCATGTGAAAGCCCTGCTAAAATGTTTAAATAAAGATTAAAATATTTAATCTTTTGGTGATACGTTTTTGCAAATGGATTGCAAGTGGATTGTATGTGCATATCCTTTTAATAAATGAGTTTATCTGTACATGAGAGACCACCAGGGAATACCAAAGTGTAAGCTAGACTGAGACGTCAAAGCAAATCCTAAAGAAAGAATTATATAGCTGTGTCCCTATGATTCCTAGGAATCAAGAAGACCTTACATTGCACTTGATTTTAGCCAAAAGGCTGAGAAGCGATAGACCTTGCATTTATATACAGAACTGCAAAATAAATTTTTACCCAGTCTTGACTGAAGCATTTCATGCTGATTGCTGGAGGTATCATTGAGTCTCAAACAACCACTCCCCCTTTCAGTCCAGCATAACAGGGCTTTATTAAATAAAAAAAGCCTGCAGTTGATCTAAGACAGAAGAAATGATCATCATTATCATTATTTCTATGGCAGAAAATGTTTAATAACAATGGCCAAATGGCTTCTAAGCTATTTCTATAGTTGCTATCAATTAAAAGAATGAAAATGACAACCAAATGATCTTAACTGAACACTGTACGTTAATTACTTAGACGTTTAAAAAGAAGGGAAAAACAGAATTTCTTATCAGAAGTTGAAATAAATAATCTCTTCTTAGAGGAAAATGATTATTAGCGAACTTGCAAAATTCTTATCTCCCTGTTCTTATGACAATACTAGAAAAATCCTGCTGCAAAGTAATTTTCATCTTTTTAAAAAAAGATTTACTTTCTAAGAGTGTGTTTACTTAGCAAGCATGACTAATTATCCTAATCCAGTTTGTGAAAAAGCAGATTTCACT